ATATCCTGTTGATTTTGTTATTCTGGATATAAATGAAGATGTGGATGTGCCTTTGATTTTGGGTAGACCATTTCTCGCCACCGCCAAGGCGCTTATTGATGTGCATAGTGGTAAACTGATCTTGCGTGCTGGGGATGAACATGCTACTTTTTCTATGTCTGAGAATGGGAAGCACTCCCATTTGCATGATGACTTAGATTACTGTGATATGCTTTCTGATTTTGAGACCGCACTCACCATAATGAGTGGGGGTACTGACGATGCTCTTGAGCGTTGTATTTTGCTAGGAGAGCAGGCATCGCAGGAGCCGTAGCTGGAGGAGCAGTTGGTCGCACTCGAGAGTGGCGCGTTCCTGGAGGCGATAGGCTATTCAAATCGATCTCATCCTCACCTCGCATCACTACCTCCTTAGAGGAGCCACCAGAGCTGGAGCTAAAGCCCCTCCCTCCTCACTTGGAGTATGCCTTTCTCCGGGAGGGGAGCAAGCTTCCATTCATCATTAGCTCAACCCTCACACCCGAGCAGAAGGTCAGACTGGTGGCCTTGCTGAAGCAGTACGAGCAAGCTCTAGCGTGGAAGATCATTGATATCCGAGGGATCAGCCCCTCCTTCTGCTCCCACCGGATATTGCTAGAGGATGAGATGCGGCCGGTAAGACAGCCCTAGCGGAGATTGACACCGAACCTGGAGGCTGTGGTTTGGGCGGAGATCGTGAAACTTATGGCCGTGTGGATCATCTTCGCCATCTCCGACAGTGAGTGGGTCAGTCCCACCCAGGTGGTGCCTAAGAAGGGCGGGATGACCGTGGTACCCAATGAGAAGAATGAGCTCATACCTATGCAGAAGCGTCAGAGGAGCAAGGTATGGTAGTTGCAGAGTGCTTGGACCATTTTTGTCTTGCTTCTGGCCAACAAGTAAGCAAGGAAAAATCGGTTATCTTCTTCTCCAGCAATACCCCCAGACAAATTTGTGCCATGGTGGCCCGCGGCTTGGAGATGCCCATGACTCAAGATTTGGGTCGATACCTTGGCGCAACTGTCCTGCATGGTCGCGTGACTAAGGAGACATACAGGTACATCCTTGATCGTATGGAGAAGGAGCAGTACAGGTACATCCTAGACCACAAAATCAGGAGTTTCATTTGGGGGAGTTCTGAAGAAGCACGGAAGATCCACATGGTTCATTGGGAGGCAATTTGTAGGCCAAAAAAGGAGGGGGGTTTGGGGCTCCGCAATGCACATTAGCTGAACCTTGCTTTCCTTGCAAAGGTAGCCTGGTTTTTTGTTAAAAATTCGAATGAATTATGGGTGTGTGTTTTGAAGGCTAAGTATTTCAGTAAAGTTGAGGGAGCTCTCGTGGCCAAGTCGGCAGGCAGGATGTCCAACCTCTGGCGTGAAGTTAAGAAGGCTTGGCCAATTATGCAGACAGGAATGCGCATGAACATTAAGGATGGCCTCTCAACATCCTTTCGGGCGGATAGGTGGATTGATAGCGGGGAGCTTTTTCTCTATTCAGCAAAGGAGGACGGGCAGCCCATTGATCTTTCCCAGCCAGTTGCAGCTTTTGTGAAATTCTAAGGTGAGTGGGATCTTCCGAAACTTCATGGAGTTCTAACTACGGAGGCTATTTTGCGGGTACTGGGAATACAACCTCCGCAGCTTCATGCAGGAGAGGACGGTATGGCATGGGGACCAGAGAATGATTGTCAATTCAGGGTTCGTTCGGCGTATGACATTGCCAAGGGCGAGGTGGACAAATGGTGGAGCTTTGACTGGCGTACGGTCTGGCAGAGGGGACTGACTCGCGGGACTCACTTCCTATGGCTGGCTACTCGGAACCGCCTGTTGACGAACTATGAGCGGACGCGGCGCCACATAGCGACCTCTTCAACCTGTGGCCACTACAAGCAGCACCTAGAAACAGTCATGCATGTGTTGCGGGACTGCTCTTTTTCCAGGTTAACTTCGGTGCAACTCACTCACCTTTCTAAGCAACAAGACTTTTTTGACAGCCATCTTCAAGATTGGATACTTCATAACATCAAACGTGAGAACACAGACTTTGGTATAGTCTGTTGGTCTCTTTGGAGGACCTGAAATGACAGAGTCTTTGCAGGCAAAGTCTTCACCACTGAAGTCTTTCTATAGCGTGTCCTGGCTTGGATAACTGTCGTGAGGAATGCCATGGACAAAGACAGGCTTGTTCACATGACTAGTATGCCCGCTAGAACGGAGGTTGAGATCTCTTGGAAGCCTCCACCTCAAGAGTAGGTTACTCTCAATCAGACGGCTCCGTTATTCCTGAATCGGGCCTCGCAGCATTCTCCAGTAACTTGGGGATTTGTTCTATCACCCGAGCAGAATTGAGAGGAGCTGTAGAAGGACTTTAGTTGGCCTAGGATCGTGGATATCGTCGGGACTGGGAGCTTATGTGTTACCATATCTACAGAGAGGGAAACACGTGCGCTGATTTTTTAGCTAGTTGAGGTCACTCCCTTCCTTTGGGTACCCATCTTGTTCCGGTGTTCGATCCGGGTTTGTGTCATTGTATCATGTATGACTGTCAAGGCCTTTCTGTGCCTCGTCTTGTTGTGAATGAAAGTTGATATGCGTTGCATCCATTTATCAAAAAAAAAAAAGAATTACGTAACGAGTGAAATGAGGAGAAATTGTTGGACTTTGAATAATTTGATAATGTCGGACCATAATTCATGACTTTGTTTGTTCCTTGAACATATAGGTTGTGTCAGCTAATCTTACTTAAGTAAAGTTATCACCATGATGACTTGTCCTCGGCCACGAGTTCATTCCTTTTGAAGCTTAAATTAATTTCTAGGTGGGCCCCACTTTTGTTATCAATTGATCTAACTGACCAATTCAAATAACTTCGCTAAAAATTAATTAATCTATAGTGTTATGTTTCCATTATCTATGACGAAATTTTCACATAACACTTCTAGCCCTTGCAATGATAATCTTAATTTGTACCTTCATAAAGTGTGGTTATAAACGCCAGTTTTTGCGGGCCAGATAATAATCTTCACCAGAGTGAGTGCATAGTTTAACTTGGATGTTTTCCAAGATATTGATCCCCATTAACCATAAATGCATATCCATTAATGGATTGTGCAATTTATTCATCTGGTGAGTTCCTTTGGGTACAAGATACCAAAAACTCATCCTATTTTATTCAATGCACATCATGTGAGCTTAGGGTTTTGGTAAAAAACTTTCAAGTTCCCACTACACTTCACTTGTACATAAAACTTCTTGCTATTAATGTTTATATCCTAATTATTAACCTCATTATGCCATGTAAGTCTCTCTTAGACTTAACCAACTAATTAATTACACGATTTAGTCTTTCTTTAGACTCACACATTCAACCAAGTAACAAGTAAAGTATATCTATGGAATTAACCAAGCGACATTCCACATCATTTTATCCACAATAAATCCCCAATATTTCAACTATTTCGCCATAGTTGTTGAAAATTTTCACATTTTTTATATGAGGAATATTGTTCATATACATGCAAGTAAAAGGTCAAACTCATTTTTCTTTTGGAAAGAGTGTATCAACACCTCTAAAAAAATCATCTTCTGATTTCTACAACTAGCTCTGTGACATAAATGTCAACATATGCTAGATTTTACTCATAAGTTAATATTTTTTAAGTAGGTTAACTACACAAAGTTTATTAACTTGCACTTTTTCGATGAACACTTTCATACTCTCAAGTATAACATTGATTACCTTTCCATTTCTCATGGATAGACTTTTGTCTGCTAAACCGAATAAGAAAGCTCCAGTCCTTGAGGTCACCAAATTCTGGATCCCCCCTCATCTTTACTTAGGATACCGATTCGTGGAGCGGGAACGGGAGCGAGAGCGGGAATGGGAGCGTTAGAGTGTTTATTTTGAGATAATTATATATTGAGAGCGTCAAGAAAGCGTTAAAATTATATTATTTTTATTAAAATATTATTTAATATACTATCAAATTTTTAAAAATATCATGGTAAAACAGTAAAAAAACACCTAAGTTCTCTAGTAAAAAAAAAGAGAGAGAGAATGCCCAAGTTGAATGGCCCAAATCTTAGTAAATCCAAGTAATTGGTCAACTACATGGACCCAAAGCCCAAACCTAAAGCCAGAACTCTAAACCTTGACAATAGAAAGTCACTCCCTACCCTTTCTCCCCGCAGCCGCATGACTTCTCCATCCCCTCCCTCACCAATCCCATCGTTCACGCCTCTTCTTCCTTCTTCTTCCTTCCTCCGCCAGTTCAAGATCTCTCTAATCAACCAAGCCTCTTCAGATGCAAATCCAAACCTCTTGGCTTCCTCCACCAACCCGACTAGTGATTCCATCCCCTTCACCAAATCGCAGTCATCACCTTCGTTAGTTCTTTTTCTCTTCCTCTCTATCCCTGTGAAATACATACGCGGATTACCCAGCAAAAATCGCGCTCCAACAGATAATAAATCGCAATTTTTTCGCGAATCCATTCAAAATCGCGTTTTTGTGGTCTAAATCGGGAGCGCTACCCCTTTCACACGAATTGTGTGACCTAAATCTTTACTATATTATAGGTTTTATTTATGTGAATATTCTACATGTATGTCGTAGTTGAGTAGCATTCATTGCTCAACAGGTTTCCCAAGAAAGCTAAAACGTTTTTTTTTTTTTTTTTCACAAGAAAGCTAAAACTTGGGGTAAATTGCATGGTTGGTCACTGTGATTACCAAAAAACGTTCATGTTTGATCACTAAAAATATTTAATTTCATTTGTGATCACTAAAATTAGTCAAGTATTTCAAGTTTGGTCACTCTCCGTCCAATTCCGTTAACTTTTGCTTACGTGGCAGTCAACTTTTATAGTTGACCGTTAAATATGTGACATGGCAATTAAAAAATAATAAATTAATAAATTTAATTTCTAAAATTTCCACTTCATTTCTAACTTACTTATAAAATAAAATAAACACTCTCCGTCGCAAATCAGAGAAAGAGAGAATACATAGTGAAATTCCTTTGAACCAGTTCTTCTTTTGTCTCTCCCCTAATTAAATTGATTGGGTTGAGATCAAGTGATAGGAAGAGGAGAATGAGAACAAGATCAGTGCATTCGAGACGCCGGCGATGGCCTCTGCCGGGGGAGAAGAAGCAGAGGGCGATAGGAGGAGACAGAAGATTCACCACCATCCACAACTAGAAGAGAGCAACAACAAGAAGAGATCCTCAATTTCAGGGGCAGCAACGACGGCAGCTCCGCAGGGAACGAATGCGAGTCCGTGATATGCCAATGGATCACATTCATCTTGTTATGGTCATCTCCTTAATCGTCCTCAGAATATCCTCCACCGGTTAGAAAATTCCTCGTGTGTCCAACAGAAACCCCCATGCGCCAAAAGCGGCAAGTCGAGGATCTTCACCCTGATCGGCACGTGGCGCCCCCAGACCAGCTGGGAGAAGGTCTCCAGCCCCCTCATGGCCCCCCAAACGATGGCGGCGATAAGATTTGCGGTGCCAACATGATTGGGTATGAAGAGGGTGTAGGATTCGTTGATGTCGCGGATGAGCGGGGCGGCAAGGTCGGTTACGGAGATTGGGATTTCATAGATCCAATAGCCACCACTTCAAACGATCTGTCACAACCACCGCTTCAGTCTTCACCGGCTAGGCGACACGACGACGAGAAGAGAGATTGAGAGACGGCGGTGGGGAAATGCAGGGTGGACGGCTAGGGTGTTTTGGATATAAACATTTGTTTTTATTTTTATCTTTTTAATAGTTGGGAAATGAGGTGAAAATTTTTTAAAAATTAAAAATTATATTATTTTTTAATTGTCATGTTATACATTTAACGGTCAACTATAAGAGTTGACTGCCACATAAGCAAAAGTTAACGGAGTTGGACCGAGAGTGACCAAACTTGAAATATTTAATCAATTTTAGTGACCACGAATGCAATTAAATATTTTTAGTGACCAAACATAGACGTTTTTTATAATCCTAGTGACCAATCATGCAATTTACCCCTAAAACTTGAGCATGGTAAACTTGACAAATTTTGCTAGGATTAATACAGTGTTGGATGGAGGCTCCAGTGCCCATCTTATTCAACGAAAAAAATCATCAACAAAATGGATACTGTACTCATCCAACGACAGCTACGTATTGCTAGACGTTTGATCCAAAAATGTAACCACACTAACAAAAACAAACGCAGACAACACATAAATTACCAGGGCGCACAGTTTCTTCTAATACTCTTAATCTCGTGTTTCATTCATCATTAGCAACTAGATGGTGATCAAGAAAGAAACAACCAGATGATCACCTTCAATAACCATGCATGTAATTCTCAACGGAAACAACAATATATATGGACTAGATCCATAACATACTTGCCGTTAGAAATACCAGATGATTTTTTTTTTTTTTTTTTTGTTACAGGATGTTACGAAAACTCTCGTTCCAAACACCACGACTGCATATAAACTGTAAAGAGCATTATCGTATATATCGTTGTTTGCTACAGAGATCTCTCTAGTTCGGCCGGGAAAAGACAAACTGGCCCGTCGTGTATTAGGTTCTTATTCCTCACTGATGCGATGTGGGTTCGATCAGCTGGAGTACGTAGGTAGAGCCGTTACGTAGAGGTTTATAAGTTGATGAGTTTCATGTGCAGAAAATGTAGTTCTCGAACCTGATGGAGCAATAACCACTGTTGTCGTGCGCCTGGCCTCCAAGGTGACCACTGCAAATCGACAGCAAGTAACTTTTGGCGGCGTCGAGGCAGTCGTCGCAGCCATCCGAGCTTCCACAGCTAGCTTCGCCGTGCATTGTGTAGATGTCAGAAGTTCCATCAGCGCAACGATGCAGGCCGGTCACCTCGCCGTTCACCAAGTTGGCTAGCGCAGCTTCGGCAGCACTCTCCAGTGGGTCAGTATCCGGGAACTTGGCTTTGTTGCACAGAGCGTAGAATTCGTAGCCAGAAGCTAAGAAGAAGAACATGGCGTTTGAAAGAGAAACCATTATCACCATCACAGCTGCCCCTCTCATCATCATTTTCCGGCCGGCCAGCTCTCTCTATCTCCCTCTTAGTACGTCGGTGTAGATTGGGATGGTTTTAATTAATAACTTCTTCTCGTATCACATACCTATATATACAAATTACAAATATGAGGGAGGAATTGAATTAAGGAGAGAACGTCAATCAATTTGATATTTGCAATGATAAATTAAACATTGAAGTTTATGTTTACAGTTACGTGTAACGATTTAACTTGATTCTCCTTCGTTTGTATTTTTGTTTTCTTGCAATCTGTCGTTATTGTACTTCTTATTCTTTTGGGACTTTCTTGCGAGTTGCGATACGTGAAGACTATTGTTCTTTAATTTTTTATTTTTTTATTATGACTTTGCTAAGGTAAATGACACATTTGGTCACTAAAATTACTAAATCATGTTAGGTTTAGTCATTAGAAAAAATTAAAATCAATTTTGGTCACTCGAATTACTCAAATACGTCACATTTAGTCACTCTCCCGTTAGTTTCCATCTAACTCTATTAACGAAGTTGGACGGAGGCTAACGAAAAGTGACTAAATGTGGCATGTTTCAGTAATTCGAGTCATCGGAGTTGGACGGAGGCTAACACGAGAGTGACTAAATGTGACCTGGTTTTGTAATTCGAGTGACCAAAATTGATATTAATTTTATCTAGTGACTAAACATAACACAGTTTAGTAATCGCAGTGACCAAATGTGGCATTTACCCGACTTTGCTAAGAAATAAGGAGAGTGGATCGCATTAGACCATGGCGTAATAGTAGGACCATATGCATAATCAAAGTTTATGTAATTGTGTATAAGAAGTTTTTTTTTATTTCCTGAGTATTAATGAATTTTTGTAGTATAGATTTATCTAAGGCTCGGAAGAAAGAATGTAGCCAACGATTTGTCAAAATACGAAATAAAGCATAATCGAAACACCGAATTTAACGTGGTATCCTCAACGTATTGTTGAGACTAATCCACGGAGAGGGAGAAACCTCTCGGAGTCAATCGTATTACGTAGCTTTCAAAGGCTTAAGAGTTACAGACGACACAATGACATATATATATATATATATATTAGCCGCCCATAAACCCTAAGCTAGAGGCTGCGGAAGGTAATTAACCAAAAACTACCAAGGTTAATTGCAATCCAGCACCTAATCTTCTAACAGCCTCCCTCAAATTGATGTAGCTTACGCAACATCAATTTGTAAGCCAGAAACCAATGTCGAGCAATAGCCACTGCTTTCGTCAGCAAATCTGCAGTCTGTTCTTCTGACGTGATATACGAAAGCTCCACTTGTCCTTCAGACACAAGCTGGCGAATATAATGCACATGGACCTCAATATGCTTGGTCCGATCATGAAGAACCGGGTTTGTAGCAATCCGAATCGCGCTGGTATTGTCACCAAACAAACGCATAGGGGTCTGACACTCAACACCAATTTCAGCCAACAGTCGTCGAAGCCAAACCGATTCCGAGGTAGCTTCAGACATAGATCGATATTCCGCCTCAGTGGACGATTTTGACACTCGTTCCTACTTCTTACATCTCCAAGAAATGAAAGATTGTCCCATCTTCACACACCACCCTGACGTAGAACGTCTAGTATCGAGGCAACCAGCATAATCAGCATCAGCAAAAGCCTCTAAGGCAGAGATACTCGATGTTGGGAAGAATAAACCGACTTCACGAGTCCCACCCAGATAGCAAATGAGAGGTACGGGGTGCTTGCATGAATTAACTTACCACCTGAATCGCATAACTAATATCAGGACAAGTGTGCGTGAGATAAATAAGGCTCCCCACCATACTCCGATAAAACGAACCATCAGCAGTAAATCACCATCCATCTTACGCAGTTTAAGGTTCTGCTCCATGGGAGTAGCACACGGAACACAATCATCCATGTGAGCTGTCTCAAGTAAATCCACTATATACTTCTGTTGACACACCAGCAAGCCAGACTTCGAACGATGGACTTTGAGACCCAGAAAATTAGGCAAATCACCTAGCTCCTTGAGATTCAACGCAGAACGCAGCGCCTGAGTCAGCAATTGGATACCACCTTCATCATCCCCACTAATAACCATATCATGCACATATATGAGAAGAACAGTAATACCAGCCGCAGTACGAAGAGTAAATAAAGACGGATCATTGCTACTCTGAACAAACCCAATCTAATGTACCTTATTATGAAACTTCTCAAACCAGGCCCGTGGAGCCTGTTTCAGACCATATAAGGAGCGCCTAAGACGACATACCATAGATTTGTCACCCTTAGAATAGCCAGGAGGACACTTCATATAGATGGTTTCCTTTAGATCCCCATGCAGGAACACATTCTTAACATCTAGTTGTTGTAGTCGCCACCCACGCATAGCGGCAACAGCAAGAAGAGCCCGAACAGTTTGCATTTTGGCAACAGGATCAAACATCTCATCATAATCAATCCCAAACTCCTGTTTAAAACCTTGTGCAACCACCCGAGCACGAAAATGCTCAATCGTGCCATCCAGATGCATCTTCACAGTGTAGACCCACCGAGAACCAATAACAGAGTATTCAGGACGCCGTGGAACAACATCCCATGTATGAGAAGACTCCAATGCTGCAAAGTCCACATCCATAGCATCATCTCAACACTTATGCCCATGTGCCTGTTTATAAGAAGCCGGAACAGGTACATGTTGAATGGAAAAGGCTACAAAATCATTGTAGCGAATAGGGGGTTGACCTCGAGTAACTCTGTCCGAACGGCGAAGAACCATAGGCGCCTCGGCAGGCGGTGAAATTTGCGGCGAGCCGAAACCATACGAGGAGTCGGAACTCTCGGACGAGGAAGAGAACAGTGAGGATGCGGAAGGGGACCCAGCCGAGGAAGAACCTGGAACAGGAGAGGGCGGATCAGGGCGATCAGGAGCAGGCGGCAACTCAGAAGAGAACTCAACCATGGGCTGAAAAAATTCAGTGAACTCGACCCGTAGAAATCCATCTACGGAGTCAGAAATCGGTTTTGAAGCTTGTAAGAGGTTTCTCGGAGAGTCGTCGTCAATCCCGACGTCGACGTCGGCATTGCCAACTACGACGATAACTCCGAAACATAGTACTGATGCGTAGAGCTCGTCTCCAGGAGCATCACGGAGTCGACGGAATTGAATTTTGAGTTCAGACGAGGGAGAAACGAGGTTCGAAAGTTTGTTCATAAAATTGTACGATTTACAAGTTCTGAAACTGTTTCTGACAGTTCGAAAATATAGGGTTCTATTCGGTAATTTTCCATTCTAATAGTAATCGGCTCGCAGTTTCTTCGTTTGACGTCCAAACGACAAACCGTTTGCGCCTACAGGATCGTGGGAACGAGGAGGATTTTAGGAGCAAATCTCAGGAATTTCAGAACTTAATTCCCGACTAGGAATCGGCTAAATTAAGGTGTGTAGGGATTAAGAGGACCTTAATTATTGCATCGATTATTTATGCTTGATTTACATATTTGGATGAATGGATTACTGTGGGTGATAAATTATTTGTTGATATGATGATTTGGTGATTATTCTTGATTGTTATGGATTTTACGGTGTAAATATCGGTATTTGACAAGTTTCACCGAAAAAATGGATAGTTCGGTTTATTGAGTTTAAAACTGACATAAGATATTTTTGTTTGTCTAAAATAATGTTGGGGCAGATTGAACAGAATATTTCACTTGAAAATGGTTTCCGGATTAAAAACTGCATAACAATGAATTTTACGAAAAGCTCGGTAAAAACGTGTTTTATTTATCTTTAAGATTTGGATCACTTTAAAATGGTCAGTATGGATTGTTAAATGGTATGTGCTCTGGAAAGGGTAAATTAGACAGTTGGTTGAGTTTTTATCTTTAAAATGGTAAAAACGAGCTTAATACGAGATTTGCGGTAAAGACCGAGTGTAATATTATTTTCATGGTTTTGAGCTATTGAAAAATATATTAACTGAAAAGACCTGTTTTAGGATGATAAATGGAGGTTTTTGTATTTTTGGGAGATTTTCGGATTTACCGTTTTGTGGGAATTTAAGTTACCGTAAAATAATGGTTAATACGAGATTTTTGATATTTTATTGTCTAAATTGGTTTTTATGACCAGAACTAGATTAAATGGATTTTTGTGTCAATAAATTCATTTACATGAATTGTGTGAGGATTTTAATGAAGGAAAGTGAATTTTGAGATAAGGATATTTTTAACCGCAACCGGGTTATTTATAATTATTTGCGTTGGCGCTATTTCGTGAAATTGTTGATGAATTTTGGATGAGGAATGGTGACATGGTACTGCTAAGTAGCTTTACTGGAGAATGAAATGATTTATGTGAAACGTCGAGTTGATAATCGACGGGAAATATATATATATGGACTGGTTAATCCGTGAGACTACATTGATTCCGGATTGATGGTGATGGATGGGGAAAATGGAAATGGTTTGATTCATGATCATATTAATTCACATAGATATAGAAAGGGCATGCACTTACCCTCACCTCTTGAGAGTGGGTAGATTTAGCTCGCTTATGCGATTGAGTGTTGTGGTTGCATGAGCACCACGGATGATGATTTGCTCGAGCGAGGGTAAGTGTATGGTGACCTTGGTGCCATTAATAATTAATTGGAATTTTCATATCATGCATTGATTATGTGTGTTCGTGAAATTATGTGATTATCTTATTTGATAAATTGATTTGGTGATGATGAGTTGGTGGATTCGATTATTCGATCGGTAATTTATATATATGATGATTTAAGATGGCATCTAGAGTACTAAATTGTGATTGATTACGATTGTTTGATTAGCTGATTGCAGTCCCGAAACTAGGTCGTGGGAAAGATCCACACATACAGCTTAGTTGCTGACCCACTTCTGTTCAGTTTCTTACAGGTTCGAATGAATTGAGAGAAACTCTGGCACTGCACAATGATCGATGGAGGATTGGTTTTGAACTTTTCCCAGATTTTGAAATGACTCTC